GGAAAGAGAAAATGAAAAATAGAAATAAAACAGAATAAATGTTAAGAAATATAAAATAATACAAAGAGAAATAAAGAAAAATAAAATAAAATAAAATAAAATAAAATAAAGTACACTAAAATACAATGAAATAAAATGCAACAAATATAAAAGTTAAAAAAATAAAAATAAAATAAAATACAAAAAAATAAAGTAAAACAAAAAGTAAAATAAAAATACTAAATTAAATTAAATTAAATTAAAATAAAATAAAATAAAATATATAGAAATAAAATAAAGTAAAATAAAATATATAAAAATAAAGTAAAACAAAAAGTAAAATAAAAATAATACAAAATTAAATTAAATTAAGTTAAATTAAAATAAAATATATAAAAATAAAATAAAGTAAAATAAAAATAATGCAAAATTAAATTAAAATAAAGGAAAATCAAAATAATACAAAATTAAAATTAAAATAAAATAAAATAAAAATAATACCAAATTAAAATAAAATAAAATAAAACATATAAAACCAAAATAAAACAAAAAGTAAAATAAAAATCATACAAAATTAAAATAAAACAAAATAAGATAAAATAACATAAAATAAGATAAAATAAAATAACATAAAATTGTACTAAATTTAAATAATATAAAACTAAAATAAAGTAAAATTAAAATAAAAATAGAATTAAAATGAAATTCAAAAAAACAAAATAAAATTTAAAAAAAAATTAATGAAAGTCAAATCAATTAAATTGAAATTGAATAAAAGAAATCAAAAAAAGAAATTGAAACAAATCAAAATAAAATAAATAAACTGCACAATCAAATGAAACAAAATCAAATGAATTAAAATTAATGAAATAAAATACAATGGAAATAAAATGGAAATAAAACAAAAAATAAACTGAAATAAACTGAAATAAAATTAAATCAAGTAAAATAAAATAAAATAAAATAAAATAAAATAAAATAAAATAAAATAAAATTTTAAAATTGAATTGAATTAAGTTGAATTAAATTGAATTAATCTCCCAGGAAAGGAAAATGAAATGAAATTAAATGAAATAAAATAGAATCAAATAAAAGTCAAATTTAGTAAAATTGAAATAAAATAAAATTGAAAAGAAAAAAATAAAAAATTAAAGGAAATTAAATTAAAATAGATTAAAGCAAAACAAAACAAAGTAAAATTGAAATAAAATTGAAAGAAATAGAAATAAATTGAAATAAAATGAAATAAAATGAAATAAAATAAAAAATAAAATAAAATGAAACAAAAAAGTAAAAATACAATAAAATTCAATAAAATGCAATACAATTCGATAAAATACAATAAATAAAATAAAATAAAATAAAATAAAATAAAATAAAATAAAATAAAATTTGACTGAATTAAACTGAATTAAACTGAATAAAATTGAATTAAACTCCCTGGGTAGGAAAATGAAATTAAATGAAACAAAATTAAATTAAATAAAATTAAATTGAATAAAATTAAATTGAATTAAATTGAATTAAATTGAATTAAATTCCCAGTGAAGAAAAATGAAATGAAACAAAAGAAACTAAAATAAAAGTGGAATTTTATCAAATTGAAATAAAATAAATTAAAGTAATAGAAAAGAATAAAATAACAACGAAATTAAATTAAATTAAATTAAATTAGAGCAAAAGCAAATGAGGTAAAACAAAGTGAAATTAAATTAAATTTAAATTAAATTAAATTAAATTTCTTCCCAAATTCTGTGTTTTTTTTCCAGGGAATTTTCCAAGATTTTCCCGATTTTTCCTTCCATTCCCATCAATTTTTTTTCCATCAAAACCACCAGAATTTCCCCATTTTTCCCATCAAACCATTCCCAAATTTTCCACCAAAATTCCCAAATTCCTCAAAGCTGAAAATTCCACAAAAAAACTTGGGAATTTCATCCCAAAACGGGAAAAAATTCGGGGAAAATTCCCAAAAAATGAAGAATTCCAAGATTTTTTTTTTTTGCTGTTTGGAATTCCAGATTTTTTTATCCCCCAAAAAAAATCCTTGGAAAAAATCGGAATTTACCTGGAGAAACTCACGGGAAATCCAAAAATTTCGGGAATTCCATGGGAATCTCGATTCCCAAATCCTGCAAAACAAAAAAAAAAAAGGGAAAAATTTGGATTCATTTGGGAATTTTTCCTCTCGGAATTTTGGGATTTTTTCCGTCTCAATCCCAAAAAAAAAATTCCAAGAAAAAAAATTTAAAATTTTTTGGGGGTTTTTGATCGTTTTGGGTGGAAAAATGGGGAAAAAATCCCGGAAAAGCAAAAAATTCCTGGAAAAATGGGCGGAGTTAAAGGAATTTCCTCTTTTTTTTTTCAGGAAAATCTGGGAATTCCGCGGTTTTACCCAAAAATTCCCAAGTTTTCTCCGTTTTTCTGGGAAAATTCCAAGATTTTCTCCATTTTTCCAAGAAAATTCCTGGATTTTGCTCAATTTTTCCATGAAAATTCCTGGATTTGTTCGATTTTTCAATGAAAATTCCCAAATTTTCCTCCTTTTTTCCAAGAAAAATCCCAGATTTTCTCCGTTTTTCCATGAAAAATCCAGGATTTGCTCCATTTTTCAAAGAAAAATCCCAAATTTTTTCAATTTTTCCAGGAAATTTCTTGGATTTGTTCAATTTTTCCATGAAAATGCCAAGATTTTCTCCATTTTTCCAGGAAAATTCCCAAATTTTCTCAATTTTTCCATGAAAATTCCCAGATTTTTTTCCATTTTTCCAGGAAAATTCCAAGATTTTCTTTACTTTTCCATTAAAATTCTTGGATTTTTCTCAGTTTTTCCATGAAAAATCCCAGATTTTCTCCAATTTTCCATGAAAATTCCAGGATTTTCTTTACTTTTCCATTAAAATTCCTGGATTTTCTCAATTTTTCCATAAAAATTCCTGGATTTGTTCAATTTTTCCAGGAAAATTCCCAAATTATCTCCATTTTTCCAAGAAAAATCCCAGATTTTCTCAGTTTTTCCAGGAAAATCCAGGATTTTCTCAGTTTTTCTATGAAAATTCCCAGGTTTTCTTTACTTTTCCATTAAAATTCTTGGTTTTTTCTCAGTTTTTCCAAGAAAAATCCCGAATTTTCTCCCTTTTTCCATGAAAATTCCTGGATTTTCTCAGTTTTTCCATGAAAATCCCCAAATTTTCCTCCTTTTTTCCAAGAAAAATCCAAGATTTTCTTCATTTTTCCACAGAAATCCTCAGATTTTTTCCATTTTTCCAGGAAAATTCCCAGATTTTCTTTACTTTTCCAAGAAAATTCCTGGATTTTCTCAATTTTTCCATGAAAAATCCTCGGATTTTCTCCATTTTTCCATAAAAATTCCTGGATTTTCTCAGTTTTTCCACAAAAATCCTGGAATTTCCTCCACTTTTCCCTAAAAATCCCTGAAATTCCTGAATTCCAGAAGTTTCCGAGAGAGGGAAAAAAAAAATGGGAAAATTCCCCCAAAAAAATCCAACGGGAAAAGGGGAAAAATTGGGAATTTTGGGAATTTGAGGGTTGGGAAAATGGAAATTTTGGGAATTTTGGGAATTTGAGGGGGGAATTTTTTGGGAATTCTGGGAAATCGAGGCCAAAGAATGAAAAATTTGGGAATTTTGGGAATTTGAGGGCTGGAAAAAGGGAAATTTGGGGAATTCTGGGAATTTTAGGGGGGAATTTTTGGGGAATTCTTGGAATTTCATGGCTGGAAAAAGGGGAAAATTTGGGAATTCTGGGAATTTGAGGGGAAAGAAGGAAAAAATTTGGGAATTCTGGGAAATCGAGGCCTGGAAAAAGGGGAAATTTTGGGAATTTTGGGAATTCAAGGGCAGGGAAAGGGAAAAAATTGGGAATTGTGGGAAAATTAGGGGGGAATTTTTTGGGAATTCTGGGAAATTGAGGCCAAAGAACGAAATATTTGGGAATTGTGGGAATTTGAGGGCAAAGAAGGGGAAAAATCGGGAATTCTGGGAATTTGAGGGAGGGAAAATTGGGAATTGTGGGAAATCGAGGCCTGGAAAAGGGAAAATTTTGGGAATTTTGGGAATTCGAGGGCAGGGAAAGAGAAAAAATTGAGAATTCTGGGAAACTGAGGCTTGGAAAAATGGAAAATTTGGGAATTCTGGGAATTCGAGGGGAGGAAAAGTGGAAATTTGGGAATTCTGGGAATTCGAGGGCAGGAAAAAGAGAAAATTCCGGGAATTGTGGAAAATTAAGGGTGGAGACGGGAAAAATTTGGGAATTGTGGGAAATTTAAGGAGGGAAAAAGGGAAATTTTGGGAATTTTTTGGGAATTTTAGGGGGAATTTTTGGGGAATTCTTGGAATTTGAGGGCTGGGAAAAGAGGAAAATTTGGGAATTCTGGGAATTTGAGGGCAAAGAACGAAAAATTTGGGAATTCTGGGAAATCGAGGCCTGGAAAAGGGGAAAATTCCGGGAATTGTGGGAAATTGAGGGGGGAGAAGGGAAAATTCCGGGAATTCTGGGAATCTGAGGGCTGGAAAAAGGAAAAAAAATGGGAATTTGAGGGGGAATTTTGGGGGAATTCTGGGAAATTGAGGCCAAAGAAGGAAAAATTTGGGAATTCTGGGAATTTGAGAGCAAAGAAGGGGAAAAATCAGGAATTCTGGGAATTTAAGGGCTGGGAAAAGGGAAAATTTGGGAATTTTGGGAATTTTTGGAATTTGAGGGGGGAATTTTGGGGGAATTCTGGGAAATCGAGGGCTGGAAAAATGGAAAAATTTGGGAATTCTGGGAATTTGAGGGCAGGGAAAAGGGAAAATTTGGGAATTGTGGGAAACTGAGGACAGGGAAGGGGAAATTTTGGGAATTCTGGGAAATTGAGGGGAAAGAAGGAAAAAATTTGGGAATTCTGGGAGTTCAAGGGCAGGAAAAGGGGAAAATTCAGGGAATTCTGGGAATTGGAGGGCAGGGAAAGAGAAAATCTTGGAATTCTGGGAATTTGAGGGGGGATTTTTTGGGAATTCTGGGAAATTGAGGGTGGGGAAAGGGAAAATTTTGGGACTTGTGGGAATTTGAGGGCTGGAAAAAGGGGAAATTTGGGAATTCTGGGAATTGGAGGGCAGGGAAAAGGGGAAATTTGGGAATTTGGGAATTGGAGGCCTGGAAAAAGGGGAAATTTGGGAATTTGGGAATTGGAGGCCTGGAAAAAGGGGAAATTTGGGAATTTGGGAATTGGAGGGCAGGGAAAGGGGGGAAATTTGGGAATTTGGGAATTGGAGGCCTGGAAAAAGGGGAAATTTGGGAATTTGGGAATTGGAGGGCAGGGAAAAGGGGAAATTTGGGAATTTGGGAAGCCGAGGGCACGGAGCCCCCTTGGAGGAGCCGTTCCCGATGAACCCGGCTGGGAAACGGCGCCGCCGGGGGATCCGGGGGGATCCAGAATGATCCAGGGGGATCCAGAGGGATCCAAAGGGACCCCTGAGGGATCCAGAGGGATCCAAAGTGACCCAGAGGGATCCAGAGAGATCCAGAGGGACCCAGAGGGATCCAGAGGAACCCTCGAGGGATCCAGAGGGATCCAGGGGGATCCAAAGGGACCCGGGGGGATCCAAAGTGACCCAGAGGGACCCAGAGGGATCCAAAAGGACCCAGAGGGATCCAAAGGGACCCGGGGGGGATCCAAAGGGATCCAGAGGGATCCAAAGTGACCCAGAGGGATCCAGAGAGATCCAAAGGGACACAGAGGGATCCAAAGGGATCCAGAGGGATCCGAAGGGATCCAGAAGGACCCCAAATGATCCAAAGGGATCCAAAGGAACCCAGAGGGATCCAGAGAGATCCAGAGGGATCCAGAGGGACACAGAGGGATCCAGAGGAACCCTTGAGGGACCCAGAGGGATCCAGAGTGATCCAGAGGGACCCAGAGGGATCCAAAGGGATCCAGAGGGATCCAGAGGAACCCTTGAGGGACCCAGAGGGATCCAGGGGGATCCAAAGTGACCCAGAGGGATCCAGAGGGACCCAAAGGGACCCAAAGGGATCCAGAGGGATCCAGAGGGGCCCAGAAGAACCCCCGAGGGACCCAGAGAGACCCAGGGGGACCCAGAGGGATCCAGAGCGACCCCGAGGGACCCAGAGGGATCCAAAGGGATCTAAAGTGACCCAGAGGGACCCAGAGGGACCCAGAGGGATCCCAAGGCCCCGGCAGGGAGGAACTGGAGCCTCCGGGGGTTATTTTGGGAGCGCCGGCCCCGCTCCCTCCAGCCCGGCCGGGGCCGTTTGCAGGGCGGGAATAAAGAAATCCAAAACCAATTTCAAAAGCAGGAGCGAGGGGAGGGAGGAGGAGGAGGGAGGGGAGGGAGGAGAGGTCGGAGCGAGTTTTGCCCTGAACTTGGCGGCGCGGCCGGGCCGGGGGCGGGAGCGGCAGAGGCAGAGGNTTCCCGAGCCGGAATTCCCGGATTTTCCCCGAGCCGGAATTCCCGGATTTTCCCGAGCCGGAATTCCCGGATTTTCCCGAGCCGGAATTCCCGGATTTTTCCCCGAGCCGGAATTCAGGGATTTTCCCGAGCCGGAATTCCGGGATTTTTCCCGAGCCGGAATTCCCGGATTTTCCCGAGCCACAATTCCCGGATTTTTCCCCGAGCCGGAATTCCGGGATTTTTCCCCGAGCCGGAATTCCGGGATTTTTCCCGAGCCGGAATTCCGGGATTTTCCCCACCTCGAGCAGGAGAGGCCCCAGCGATTCCTTCTCGATGACGCCGCCCTGGCTGCTGGAGGAGACGTCGGATTTCTGCACGTCGTCGTCGGCGGATTTCTCTGGAAAAAACACCAGGAAAACGGGAATCGTCAGCATGGGAAAACCGGGATGGGCTTTTGGCGGGAAATTCCCGGTTTTTTCCCGTTTTTTTTCTGGTTTTTCCCCATTTTTTCCCATTTTTTTCCAGTTTTTCCCATTTTTTTCAGGTTTTTCCCCTTTTTTTCCCATTTTTTTCAGGTTTTTCCCAGTTTTTCCCATTTTTTTCAGGTTTTTCCCCTTTTTTTCCCCTTTTGTCCCATTTTTTTCCATTTTTTTCCAGTTTTTTCCCATTTTTTTCCCATTTTTTTCCGGTTTTCTCCTTTTTTTCCCATTTTTTTCCCTTTTTTTTCCCGTTTTTTCCCAATTTTTCCCAGTTTTTTCCCATTTTTCCCAGGTTTTCCCCCTTTTTTTCCATTTTTTTCCATATTTTTCAGGTTTCTCCTTTTTTTCCCATTTTTTTCCCTTTTTTTCCCCGTTTTTTTCCATTTTTTTCCATTTTTTCAGGTTTTTCCCTTTTTTCCCATTTTTTTCTGGTTTCTCCTCTTTTTCCCAATTTTTACCCATTTTTTTCAGGTTTTTCCCTTCTTTTCCCAGTTTTTTCCATTTTTTTCCAGTTTTTCCCCTTTTTTCCCCTTTTTTCCCATTTTTTCAGGTTTTTTCCCTTTTTTTCCCATTTTTTTCCAGTTTTTCCCAGTTTTTCCCATTTTTTTCAGGTTTTTCCCAGTTTTTTCCCATTTTTTTTCATTTTTTTCAGGTTTTTCCCCTTTTTTCCCAGTTTTTACCATTTTTTTCAGGTTTTTCCCCTTTTTTCCCAGTTTTTACCATTTTTTTCAGATTTTTCCCCCTTTTTTTTTCCATTTTTTTCAGGTTTTTCCCCTTTTTTTCCCATTTTTTCAAGTTTTTTCCCATTTTTTTCCCATTTTTTCAAGTTTTTCCCTTTTTTTCCCATTTTTTTCAGGTTTTGCCCAGTTTTCCCCATTTTTTTCCCATTTTTTTCAGGTTTTTCCCCTTTTTTCCCATTTTTTCCCATTTTTTCCCGGTTTTTTCTTGATTTTTTTCCCAGTTTTTTTCCCAGTTTTCCCTGGTTTCTTCCCGTTGTATTTCCCATTTTTTCCCAGATTTTTCCCAGTTTTTTCCCGGCTTTTTCCCAGTTTTTTCCCTTTTTTTTTCCATTTTTTTCAGGTTTTTCCCATTTTTTTCCCATTTTTTCCCGGTTTTTCTCATTGTTTTTCCAATTTTTTCCCTGTTTTTCAGGTTTTTCCTGGTTTTTTTTCCCTTTTTCTTTTTCATGTTTTTTCCTCGTTTTTCCCCAGCTTTTTCCATTTTTTCCTGGTTTTTTCCCATTTTTTCCCCCATTATTTCAGGTTTTTCCCCTTTTTTCCCAATTTTTCCCATTTTTTTCAGATTTTTCCCCTCTGGTTTTTTCCCATTTTTTCCCCCATTATTTCAGGTTTTTCCCCTTTTTTCCCAATTTTTCCCATTTTTTTCAGATTTTTCCCCTCTTTTCCTATTTTTTTCCCGTTTTTTTCTGTTTTTTCCCAGTTTTTTCCCATTTTTTCCCATTTTTTTCAGATTTTTCCCCCTTTCATTTCCATTTTTTTCAGGTTTTTCCCTTTTTATCCCATTTTTTTCAAGTTTTTCCCAGTTTTTCCCATTTTTTTTCAGGTTTTTCCCCTTTTTTCCCATTTTTTTCCATATTTTTCCATTTTTTTCTCTTTTTTCCCCTTTTTCCCAATTTTTACCCATATTTTTCAGGTTTTTCCCCTTTTTTCCCACATTTTTTCCATTTTTTTCCAGTTTTTCCCTTTTTTTTTCCCATTTTTTTTCAGGTTTTTCCCCTTTTTTCCCTTTTTTTTCCATTTTTTTCCGGTTTTTCCCATTTTTTTCCATTTTTTTCCAGTTTTTCCCCATTTTCCCATTTTTTTACCATTTTTTTCAGGTTTTTCCCCTTTTTTTCCATTTTTTTCCAGTTTTTCCCCTTTTTCCCATTTTTTACCCATTTTTTTCAGGTTTTTCCCCTTTTTTCCCATTTTTTACAGATTTTTTCAGGTTTTTCCCCTTTTTTCCAATTTTTTCCCATTTTTTTCAGATTTTTTTCCCCTTTTTTTTCCATTTTTTTCAGGTTTTTCCACTTTTTTTCAATTTTTTTCAGGTTTTTTTCCAGTTTTTCCCAATTTTTTCCCATTTTTTTCAGGTTTTCCCCCTTTTTTTCCATTTTTTTCAGGTTTTTCCCCTTTTTCCCCATTTTTTTCCATTTTTTCCAGTTTTTTCCCATTTTTTTACCATTTTTTTCAGGTTTCTCCCCTTTTTTCACATTTTTTTCCCATTTTTTCAGGTTTTTCCCCTTTTTTCCCACTTTTTTTCCTGGGTTTTTCCTCGTTTTTTTCAGGTTTTCCCCATTTTTTTTCCAGGTTTTTCCTGGTTTTTCCCCTTTTTTTTTTTCATGTTTTTTTCCTCGTTTTTCCCGGGCTTTTTCCTTTTTTATCCTGTTTTTTCCCCGTTTTTCCCATTTTTCTCTCTTTTTTTTCTGTTTTTTTCCCATTTTTTTCCCCATTTTTTCCCAGATTTTTCCAGTTTTTTTCCTGGTTTTTTCCCATTTTTTCCCAGTTTTTTCTTGATTTTTCCCAGGTTTTTTCCTGTTTTCCCCATTTTTTTCCTGATTTTTTTCCCAATGTTTTCCTGGTTTTTTCCCAGTTTTTTCCCATTTTTTTCCCATTTTTTTCAGGTTTTTCCCCTTTTTTCCCGGTTTTTTCCCCGTTGTTTTTTCCCATTGTTTTCCCAATTTTTTCCCTCATTTTTCCCCGTTTTTCCCCATTTTTTCCCCATTTTTCTCCACTTTTTCCCCATTTTTTCCCCATTTTTTCCCCATTTTTCCCCATTTTTTCCCCGTTTTCCCCCATTTTTTCCCCCATTTTTCCCCCATCTTTTCTCCCATTTTTCCCCATTTTTTCCCCATTTTTCCCCCGTTTTTCCCCTTTTTTTCCCCATTTTTTTCTCCATTTTTCCCCCACTTTTCCCCCATTTTTCCCCATTTTCCCCCATTTTTCCCCCATTTCCCCCTGTACTTTCCCCACCCTGCTCCAGCCGTTTCATCTGCTGGATCTGATCCACGGTTTTCTTCAGGATCTGGCACTGGTCGGGTTTGACGCTCAGCGAGTCGATGTCGCCGAGGTTCGCCGACAGCAGCTCCGCCAGCTCCGCCAGGTACCGCTGCTCCTGCTCGCGCCGCCGCTTCTCCGCGCTGCCAAAAACAACCACATCCCCGTTTTCCCGGGACTTTTCCCGGTTTTCCCGGATTTTTCCCAATTTTCTGGGATTTTTCCCACTTTTTTTCCTGCTTTTTTTCCCATTTTCGTCCCTATTTTTCCCACTACTTCCCCACCAGCTCCCGCTGCTCCTGCTCGCGCCGCCGCTTCTCCGTGCTGCCAAAAACAACAACATTCCAAATTTTCCAGGACTTTTCCCACTTTTCCAGGGTTTTTCCCAATTTTCCAGGATTTTTCCTGATTTTTCCCAATTTTTCCCCATTTTTTTTCCCATTTTTTTCCCATTTTTCCCCACTATTTTCCCACCAGATCCTGCTGCTCCCGCTCCCACCGCCGCTTCTCTGCACTGCCAAAAACACCAACATTCCCACTTTTCCAGGATTTTTCCCACTTTTCCAGGATTTTTCCCACTTTTCCCAGTTTTTCCCAATTTTCTGGGATTTTTCCTGGTTTTTCCCGATTTTTCCCATTTTTTTCCCCTTTTTTGTCCCAATTTTTGCTGCTATTTCCCCACCAGCTCCCGCTGCTCCTGCTCATGCCACCACTTCTTCACGCTGCCAAAAACACCAACATTCCCAATTTTCCAGGACTTTTCCCACTTTTCCAGGATTTTTCCCAGTTTTTTCCAGGTTTTTCCCGATTTTCCAGGATTTTTCCTGCTTTTTCCCACTTTTTTTCCCCATTTTTCCCGTTTTTGTCCCAATTTTTCCCACTATTTCCCCACCAGATCCCGCTGCTCCTGCTCGTGCCACCGCTTCTCTGCACTGCCAAAAACACCAACGTTTCCACTTTTCCAAGACTTTTCCCACTTTTCCCAGTTTTTCCCAATTTTCTGGGATTTTTCCTGGTTTTTCCCGATTTTTCCCATTTTTTTCCCCATTTTTTCCCATTTTTCTCCCAATTTTCCCCACTATTTCCCCGCCAGCTCCTGCTGCTCGCACTGCCACTTCTCTGTGCTGCCAAAAACACCAACATTCCCACATTTCCAGGACTTTTCCCACTTTTCCAGGATTTTTCCCAATTTTCCAGGATTTTTCCCGCTCTTTCCCAATTTTTCCCCATTTTTTTCCCATTTTTCCCCGCTATTTCCCTGCCAGCTCCCGCTGCTCCTGCTCGTGCCGCCACATCTCTGCACTGCCAAAAATGGCAACATTCCCACTTTTCCAGGACTTTTCCCACTTTTCCAGGATTTTTCCCAGTTTTTTCCCAGTTTTTCCCAATTTTCTGGGATTTTTCCTGGTTTTTCCCGATTTTTCCCATTTTTTTCCCCATTTTTTCCCATTTTTCTCTGTTTTTCCCCGCTATTTCCCCGCCAGCTCCCGCTGCTCCTGCTCCCACCGCCGCTTCTCTGCACTGCCAAAAACACCAACATTCCAAATTTTCCAGGACCTTTTCCCAGTTTTCTGGGATTTTTTCCCAGTTTTCCAGGACTTTTCCCAATTTTCAGGGATTTTTCCCGATTTTTCCCCATTTTTTTCCCCATTTTTTTCCCATTTTTCCCTGCTGTTTTCCCACCAGATCCCGCTGCTCCTGCTTGTGCCACCGCTTCTCTGCACTGCCAAAAACACCAACATTCCCACTTTTCCAGGATTTTTCCCACTTTTCCGCTTCTCTGCACTGCCAAAAACACCAACATTCCCACTTTTCCAGGATTTTTCCCACTTTTCCCAGTTTTTCCCAATTTTCTGGCATTTTTCCTGTTTTTCCCCGATTTTTCCCATTTTTTTCCCCTTTTTTGTCCCAATTTTTCCCCGTTATTTCCCCACCAGCTCCTGCTGCTCCAGCTCGCGCCACCGCTTCTCTGCGCTGCCAAAAACGCCAATATTCCCACTTTTCCAGGACTTTGTTCCAATCTTCTGGGACTTTTCCCAATTTTCCAGGGTTTTTCCCACTTTTCCCAGTTTTCTGGGATTTTTCCCGCTTTTTCCCCATTTTTTCCCCATTTTTTCCCCATTTTTTCCCCATTTTTTCCCCATTTTTTCCCATTTTTGTCCCAATTTTCCCCGCTATTTCCCCACCAGCTCCCGCTGCTCCCGCTCCCACCGCCGCTTCTCTGCACTGCCAAAAACACCAACATTCCCACTTTTCCAAGACTTTTCCCACTTTTCCTAGTTTTCCCCAATTTTCTGGCATTTTTCCTGCTTTTTCCCCATTTTTCCCCATTTTTTTCCCCATTTTTTCCCACTTTTGTCCCAATTTTTGCTGCTATTTCCCCGCCAGCTCCTGCTGCTCTCACTCCCACCACCGCTTCTCTGCGCTGCCAAAAACACCAACATTCCCATTTTTCCAGGTCTTTTCCCATTTTTCCAGGATTTTCCCAGTTTTCCAGGATTTTTCCCAGTTTTTCCCAGTTTTCCCTGGTTTTTCCCCACTTTTCCCCCCCTTTTTTCCATTTTTTTTCCCGCTTTTCCCCACTTTTCTCCCCCCTCTTCTTCCCGATTTTCCCACCAATTTTTCCCGCCTTTTTCCCACTTTTTCCTGCAATTTTCCCACTTTTTTCCACTTTTCCCACCAATTTTTCCCGCCTTTTTCCCACTTTTTCCTGCAATTTTCCCACTTTTTTCCACTTTTCACTGGTTTTTCCCACTTTTTCCCTGCTTTTTTCCCACCATTATCCCAGTTTTTCCAACTTTTCCCACTTATCCATTTTTTCCCACTTTTTCTCCCATTTTTCACGGTTTTTTCTTGCTTCTTTCCCACTTTTTCCCCACAATTATCCCACTTTTCCCTGTTTTTTCACATTTTCCCCCCATTTTTCCCACTTTTTCCTACCATTATTCCACTTTCTTCCCACTTTTCCATCTTTTCCCACTTTTTCCCACTTTTCCCCTTTTTTTCTTGCTTCTTTCCCACTTTTTCCTGCAATTCTTCCCACTTTTTCCCATTTTTCCCTGCTTTTCCCTGCTTTTTTCCCCCATTTTTCCCACTTTTTCCCACTTTTCCCCACCATTATATCCCACTTTTTCCCACTTTTCCATTTTTCCCCACTTTTTCCCTGTTTTTTCCCAGTTTTCTCTTGCTTCTTTCCCACTTTTTCCCACGTTTATCCCAGGTTTTCCCACCTTTTTCCCACCATTATCCCACTTTTTCCCTGTTTTTCCCCATTTTTCCCACTTTTTCCTGCAATTTTCCCACTTTTCCTGTTTTTTCTTGCTTCTTTCCCACATTTCCCTGGTTTTTTTCCCACTTTTCCCCCCTTTTTCCCACCATTTTTCCACTTTTCCCTGTTTTTTCCCATTTTTCCCTTGGTTTTTCCCACTTTTTCCCCACAATTATCCCAGTTTTTCCCTGTTTTTTCCCATTTTTCCCCCATTTTTCCCACTTTTTCCTGCAATTTTCCTGCTTTTCCCACAATTATCCCACTTTTCCTGTTTTTTCCTGCTTCTTTCCCACTTTTCCCCACTTTTCCCCCATTTTTCCACACTTTTCCCCCCTTTTTCCCACCTTTTTCCCGCTTTTCCCTGTTTTTTCCCAATTCTTCCCACTTTTTCCCATTTTTCCCTGCTTTTCCCTTTTTTCCCACTTTTCCCTGCTTTTTCCCACAATTATCCCGTTTTTCCCCACTTTTCCCCACTTTTCCATCTTTTCCCACTTTTTCCCATTCTTCCCATTTTTCCCATTTTTTTCTTGCTTCTTTCCCTTTTTTTTCCCATTTTTCCCCCATTTTTCCCACTTTTCCCCACCATTATCCCGGTTTTTCCCACTTTCCCACCTTTTTCCCACCATTATCCCACTTTTTCCCTGTTTTTTCCCATTTTTTCCCCCATTTTTCCCACTTTTTCCTGCAATTTTCCCACTTTTCCTGTTTTTTCTTGCTTCTTTCCCACTTTTCCCCATTTTTCCCCCATTTTTCCACACTTTTCCCCCCTTTTTCCCACCTTTTTCCCGCTTTTCCCTGTTTTTTCCCAATTCTTCCCACTTTTTTCCCATTTTTCCCTGCTTTTCCCTGGTTTTTTCCCACTTTTCCCTGCTTTTTTCCCATAATTATCCCATTTTTTCCCACTTTTCCCCACTTTTCCATCTTTTCCCACTTTTTCCCATTCTTCCCATTTTTCCCATTTTTTTCTTGCTTCTTTCCCTGTTTTTTCCCATTTTTCCCCCATTTTTCCCACTTTTTCCTTGCAATTTTCCTGCTTTTCTCCACCATTATCCCACTTTTTTCCCACTTTTCCATCTTTTCCCACTTTTTCCCACTTTTTTCCCATTTTCTTCTTGTTTTTTTCCCACTTTTTCCCCACAATTATCCCAGTTTTTCCCTGTTTTTTCCCATTTTTCCCCCATCTTTCCCACTTTTTCCTGCAATTTTCCCACTTTTCCCCACCATTATCCCGGTTTTTCCCACTTTTCCATCTTTTCCCACTTTTTCCCCATTTTTTCCCATTTTTTCCCCATTTTTCCCACTTTTTCCTTGCAATTTTCCCACTTTTATCCATTTTTTCCCTGTTTTTTCCCGCTTTTCCCCACCATTATCCCAGTTTTCCCACTTTTCCATTTTTTCCCACTTTTTCCCCCATTTTTCACAGTTTTTTCTTGCTTCTTTCCCACTTTTTCCCCACAATTATCCCACTTTTCCCTGCTTTTTCCCATTTTTCCCCCCATTTTTCCCAACTTTTTCCTTGCAATTTTCCTGCTTTTCTGCACAATTATCCCGGTTTTTCCCACTTTCCCATCTTTTCCCATTTTTTCCCATTTTTTTCTTGTTTTTTTCCCACTTTTTTCCTGCAATTTTCCCACTTTTTCCCACCATTATCCCGGTTTTCCTGTTTTTTCTTGCTTCTTTCCCACATTTCCCTGGTTTTTTTCCCACTTTTCCATCTTTTCCCACTTTTTCCCATTCTTCCCATTTTTCCCATTTTTTCTTGCTTTTTTCCCTGTTTTTTCCATTTTTCCCCCATTTTTCCCACTTTTACCTTGCAATTTTCCCGCTTTTCCCCACCATTATCCCGGTTTTCCCCACTTTTCCATCTTTTCCCAC